ATAATTATCTATCTTCTACCAGATATAGCTATTTTATAAGTTTTTTTTGGAAGCTCATACACGCTTTGAAATTTGTTGATCTTAGCTTACAGCCCAAACCTATCAATGAGCTCCCTTCAAGGTTTCTTTCAGTCTGTTGATCGAGTCGCTGCTGAACGAGAGAGAAGAAAACGCGAGGATCAAGAGTTGCAGGAGCGGCAACGACGTGAAGAAGTTAGTTCCTAGTTGGAAATATCTTTCTGCTTTCGGAAATCAAAGAACATCGGCAAATTCCAGCTTCTCTCTTCATAGAACCTCGGCAGTATGCCATTGATGATTGTGTTGTGATTCTTCAACCGACGAGGTTGTTAGGTGGGAACTTTATTGATGGCCTGACGTTTCGACGCGATCGTCTTTTTAGGAGGCCCATGAAGTTCCCACCTAACAACCTCGTCGGCAGAAACATCACAATACGATCATGAAGAATATCGGCCTCCTCAATGGCCCTTATCATAAAATTGAAGTGTGAACAAATGAAAATTGACTTGTGGGGCTCAGGCCCCAGAGATGCTGGCATTATTTTCGAAAGGTTCAGAGGGCTTCTGGAGCTCAAGAAAAAGGAAGTGCAGTGATGGGCGGTAGTCAAGAAGGGAATGATACATTGCGAGACAACCAGTTATCAATCGCTGGCTGTGAGTGGTTCGAGACAACCTGTACACCTAGAAAAGTTTCTAGGAGTTAAATTCCTTTGTGTTTTGCTAGACGTAATGTTCTCAGTAGTGTAGTGGGAAATAGGAGGAAAAACTATATATAATAAGATTTTTTTTTTGGAAGAAAGGGTGACTTCGAAAAGAATGGCGACCAGAGTGAAAAAGCCTCTCAGAGTGAATGGGATGGAGACTATTCCTCCCTTTATTGCCGACGAACATAGATGTTGAGTTTTTTCCAGGAGGAAAGGCAACGTCGCATCGAAGAAGAATGGAAGAAACATGAAGCAGAACATCCTGTCGATGAAGAACGGCAACGTGCTGAGCAAGATATGAATGAACGGGCTCATTTGGTGAGTTAAATATGAAGTGATGATGTCTATTGGCAGGTTTTCGCAGCCTACTTCTTGTGAGTGTTGGGCGGCGTTGATCGACAGGCCTATGGTTTTGTTAGATAGTTTGCGGCTAGGGTGTAGTATCAAAAGAAAAGGGGATCGATGCAAGTGCTCATAGAATATCTGGAAAATCAGTTAGAAGGGACGCAGCAAAAGTTCGCTTGGGACGTCTGGCATTCGTGGAAATAAAAAGAAATTGGCTGGCGTAGAAGCTCTTTCACAAAAGCGAAACGGAAGTGTGACAAGAGGAATGTGCATGTACCATGTAACGGGAAGTTCTGGAGAGTAGGAGGAGATGTTGGGAAAGAAAGGATGCTCGATTCCTGCAAAATGCTGTCCAAAAGGGAAGATGTCGCGATGCATTTGTAACCGTAACGAAAATTCTTTATGATGGAATAATGTCTCCTTTCCAGCAGAGTCAAACAAAGCGTCGAAGTGCTGGTCCAGCGCCGGGAGCAGTTCCAATTATGCCGGGTATTGCCCAACCGGTGACTCCGAAAGAACGGCCACAACCCAGAGAGGAGCTACCAGTGAGTGTTTTTAGCCACTTCCAGAATTTGTTCTCATTTCTAGTTATTATTATCGTATAGGCAAGTCCACCT